AGGGCCTTCCTCTTTTTCGCCATCACTCTCCAAGATGTCTTTCTTCAAGGAGAACTCTATTCCTAATAGAGTAATGATGTTAGAGTGATGAAATCCTGAGGCAATTTAAAAAACCACACAGAGTTGCACAGTTTGGTGGGTGGAGGGAAAGCAGAAGCAAATGGGAAGGATCTGGGCGAAAAGACAGGGTAATTATGGGCGAAGTTCATGGTGATTCTTTTTTTTTTAAAATTTTATTTTATTATTTTTAGTGTGTGTACCGTCAAATCAGATCTGACAGGTACAGGATATTGCCTTTGCCTCTCCTTCTCCAACAGAGAATCTGGTGGATTTGAACTGCATGCCTCTGGGATTGAAGCACAGCTTCTTGCCACTAGACCAGAGCTCCCATGGTGATTAATTTTATAAAACATAATGCATGAGAATGATTGTATGAAACACAATATGAGTGAAGAAGAGTGTGAGGTACAGTGTATATGAATTATGTAAGCAAACCAATGAGGGGGAAAAGGAATAGATAAGAGGAGGAACTGGGGGGGAAACCTACTACAGATCTTATGAAGAAAAGGTGAAGCACAAATACAAACCACTACCTACATACAGAGATTTTTCTGTTTGTTTTAATCCTAAATCTGAGGCACAGAAGAGTAATTCCGTGCCAATGCCAGGCTTGCAGTCACCACACTCACCACTCTCGGCCATCAAGCTGATGTTCACAGTAAACACCAGTGTGGCTCGCACCTGTGCCCAACGGGCTGTTCTGGAGTTCACCCAGCAGCTGGCTCAGGCCACTAGCAAACCGACCCTGTGCATCGCGGTGCATCTGGTCTAAGGCCATTTCCAGGCTTGGTGGCTCACACGACCCATGTGCGCTCTGCAGCCTGAACAGCAAAGCCAAGATTGGTGGTGCAAGGAACCCAGCCTATGGCAAGCTGCTGTGTGGTCTGCTTTCCCAGCACCGACAAGGTCTACAACTACTGTGACATGAACGCCACCAATACTGGCTGGGGCAATGGCATGTTCGCAGAGGGCCACACTCACCTGCACTGGTCTGTGGCCAAGCCCTTCTGTCTCCCAGGAAGCCCGTCAGGAGAAATAAACCGTTTACAGGGAAAAACAAAACAAAACAACCAAACCAAACCCAACCAAAACCCACAACAAAACAAAAAGAGTTACTCTGTGCCACAGTCTCAGGGAACTTTGACGACTGACATAACATAGTTCACAGCCATCATTAATAGTTTTATACACTTCTTCCCAGTCACTTCTCCTGGGCATACTCGACATGATTGTGACTGTCACTGTAATGTCCATCCACCACATTTTGTGTCCAGAACTGCTGTAATTTATCAGTTAAAGCCATAGATTTTAATAGTGCACATACATAACTGAACAAAGAGCAAAAGAACAAAGAGTTGCTTAATACCATTTACCTCATAAATAGGAAGTGTCGGTGAGTTCCATGCATTGATTCTCGATTCACTGACGTCAACTACTGTGACCCTGATTTCTGGGCACATATGAGCAATGATACTGCATGTGGGTCCCCCGACATAGCCCGCTCCAATGCAGCAGATATTCTTAATTTCAAACATGATTGTCCCACTTCCAGCCCCGAATATTAGAATATATTAGAATTATTAGAAATATACCACAAGGAAATCAGAGCTGAGGCACAAACGAAGATATGTGTACACCAATGTTCACCACAATGTTATTCACAATAGCAAGAAAATGGAAACAGTCCCAAAGTCCATTAGCAGATGAATGGATTGAGAAATTGTGGTACATTCACATACTAGAAGAGTATCTAGCATTAAAGAATAATAAATTTGAAAAATATTACACAACTTGGGCACATGTACAGAACATAATGCTGAGTGAAAGAAGTCAGTCACAGAAGGCTCAATACTGTCTGAATACCACAACAGCAAAACTAGGAGGATATCCAGGGGTTGGAGGAAAATGAGGAGAGCAGAAATAGAATGTATAGTCAATGAACACTGTAAAGGATCAAGACAAGGGAAAATCAACCAGGGTAGAACTGACAAAAGGACAGCAAAGGTAACTGTAATTAGTAAATGGTATTATATGCCACCAAGTTCACTCAAAGCAACCCTACAAACAACAGAGCTGAATGCTGTCCTATCCTGTACCGTCCTCACCATCTCCGACACACCTGAGACCATTGCTGATCAGGTCACTGTGCCAATTCACCTCATTGAGTGTCTGCCTCCCTTTGCTGATCCTCCACCTTTTCAAGCATAATGTCCCTCTCCAAGGACTGGGCCCTCCTAACAACACGCCCAGAGATTGTGAGATAAAGCTTCGCCATCCTTGCCTCTTAGCACTTGGGCTGTACTTTCTTGAAGTCATATGTGTTTGTTCTTTGGTCAGTTAACAGGATATATTCAGCACTTGTTTCTATCACCACAACTCAAAGGCATCACTGCTCTCCAGGACTTTGGAGAGGTTCCAGACAGCAAGACTTTCCTAAAGCTATACGTCTCCTGATTTCTTGACTTCTGGTACCAAGAGTATTAATTGTGAATCAAAGTAAGATTAAACAGATGAACTTTGCCACTGCTACTGGATTGAGATGGTATCTCATTGTGGTTTTATTTGCATTTCTCTTATTGCCAGTGATTTAGCGCATTTCTTCATGTGTCTGTTGGCCATCTGAATATCTTCCTCTGTGAAAAGTCTTTCCATGTCTTTTGTCCATTTTGTAATTGTGTTGTCAGTCTTTTACTTGTGGAGGCCCTGTAGGATATCCTGTCGGAAATGGTAATGCCAAATGTTTTTCCCAGGCTTTCTTTTCACTCTGTAGGGAAAAGTTTTTTATGTGCACAGGGATTTAATCTTCAGAAGGTCACATTTATCAATTTTATTTTCTCCAGAATGAGCATTTCTGGCTGTATTTGGAAGTCTGTTTATACCATAGGCAGGGCCACCTAAGCTTGATCTCGTTTGTCTTGGATAGTTTAACAGGACAGCAAGGAATAAATGTTGGAGAGGGTGTCGAGAGATAGGAACTCTTATACATTGTTGGTGGGATTGTAAAATGGTACAACCATTCTGGAAGGCAGTTTGGTGTTTCCTCAAAAAGCCGAACATAGAAATTCCATATGCCCCAGCTATTCCACTGCTTCAAATATATCTTGGAAAAATGAGAACTGTGGCACAAACGGAGACTTGTTCATGGCAGCATTATTCACCATGGCAAGAATATGGAAACAACCCATATGTCCAAACAAATAGACTGAGAAATAATGGTACCTTCACATGATGGAATACTATGCTGCACGCAGGAGCAATGGCTCTGTAAATTACTACCTAACTTAGGAGGGACTGGAGTATATTATGCTAAGTTTACTAACTCAATCCCTTAAGGGCAAATATTGTAGAAGACCATTACTGTAGAACAAGTAGAGGATCCAAGGGGTGAGGACAGAGGGGTGAGGATGGGCAGGGGTGGGGTAGGGTTAATCACAGGTTTACACAATTTGATGGGTGGAGGGAGGGATGGATGAAGCAAATGGAAAAGATACAGTGTGAACAACAATGCATAAAAACTTTGTAAATAAACTAGTATTTTTTAAAAAATATTAAATAGCTAACAATTTCAATCTTTTCTCTATCATGATGTTCCCTATTGGTCCATTGGAAAGGATTTTTGTTTTCTTGATGTCATCCATATTGAAGATATTAGTCTTTGATCTTCTATAACAATCGCCTCAAGTACTTCTCATTTCAAGCCATCAAGGTTGTGTCTTAGTTGTAAGGAGCTACGCTGCCAACCCAAAGGCATGGGGTTCAAATCCACCAGCTGCTCGGCAGATGAAAGATGGGCAATCATCTCCTGTGTGATTTACAGCCTCTGAAAATCTGCCGGAAGGTCAGCTATAAGTTGGCTCTGACTTGATGGCTCAAAACAACAAAAATTAGCAAATAGGAACAGGTTCTTTATAATTGTCCCTAAGGGGAGAGTGAAGGGGAGATGGGAGGTGGAAGAAGAAAAAAAAAAAAACCTAACTAGGACAGAGATTAGTGGACAAATGGATGTGATGGTGAAGGAATAGGCAAGGTACAATGCGAACTTTGATGAATGGGGTGACAAAAGACATTGATCAATGGTAAATAATTATGTAAAATCCAACATCTATAAATGACTGTAAAAAGTAGTGTACATGAAGAAGAAGAAAAAATTCAAAAACCTTTTTTTTTAAATCCTAAACAATTTTGAGGGGAGAATAGGGACTTAGGGTGCCCAAGCCTCCTAGTATGGCTGTGACTAAACTGGTTTCCTGAGAATAGAGACCTTAAGGAAGAAAACCTGAAAAATTTTGCACAGCCAAATTAGTTCGCATGTTCCTGCAGAATCAGAATTAGAAGCAGATTAATAGATAGAGTGTGGTCCAGCATTTCTTATACAGTCATTCCTCAGGTTAGGAAATTCTAATTAATTTTCATACAATCTGTAAATCCCCATAAAGCCTAAATAAGAGTTGCATACAATGGTTGCTAATAATGAATGGGTGCCACTTTTCAACATATGTCAAAACATTACTACTGTATTATTACTTTAAAGATGTTGTAAAGATATATCTGGAAGTGTTTCTTTAATCTGTTTATGCATAGCAAGGTACATTTATACTAAGAAAACATCTGATTCATATTAGATAAAAGCCATGCCTACCTATTCTGATTTATGTACAAATTCAATGTAAAGACAAGATTTAGGAGAGGGATTTGCTGGCAAGAAGAGTCTGCCTGTGTAAGTGTTGTTGTTATTGTTGTTGTGTATCATCGAGTTGGAACCGACCCATAACAGACCCTCCAGAGAGTTTTCAGAGGCAGTTAATTGCATGGGAGGAGATTGTCTATCCTTGTCCTGGAGCAGCTGGTGGCCTTGAACTGCATGACTTCAGGACTGCAGCGCAGCTTCTCACCACTAGGCCACCAGAGCTCCCTTAAATTTTGTTATTGAGCACATTTACCTTATCTGCCTTGCCACCTTTTCCTTTGGCTGCAGCAATCAAAGGAACTCTCGTCATCTCTACAGGCCACAATCGGCAATCAGCAATCCGTTTCTGAAAACTGCACATAAAAAATCAGCCCATCAGCAATACATGCAAAACGGAATTAGTAAAATTTAGGTCAAAAGGAAGTATTACTCTATTTTAGAAAGTAGTGGAATACATACATTTTTATTATGTAGGTGGATTTTTTTTTTCAGATTTTCCAAATGTAGGTTGTTGCTCCTGTATACTGTCAACGCAGAACTAACTGATCCATAGTGGGTTTTCAGAGAAATAAAACTGCACGGGAGATTACCCATCTTCCTCCCACGGAGCAAATGGTGGATTTAAACCATGTATCTGAGTTGGCAGCACAGTTGCTTACCACTAACCCTCAAGAGCTCTTCCAAATATATAGAATTCTAAAAGTAGTTCTACACTACTGTTATTAGGGAATTTCTGGGTAATGCAAATAGTTAACCTGCTTTGATCGCTAACAATCCAGATACACTTGAGAGGGGAAGGCCTTGCTGCCTACTTCAGAAAAAAACAGCGATTGAAAACTCTAAGGGGCAAAATGCTACCCTAACACAGGTGGGGCTCTCACAAGCTGGAATCAGCTTGATGACAGCTGGTTTTGTTTTATATTTCTAATTTTACTGCTAGCAGAGGATAACAACACATTTTTTAAAGCACTCTGATGGTATGAATAAAAAAATCTTACAGATGTTCATAATCTTTGACTCAAAAAATTCCAAATCTGATGCTATACTGTAAAACATAATCAAGTACACAAAGAGTAGAAATGATATTTCTTTTTATTATCAAAATAGATCATGGCTTTCAGCTTAAGTTTCTACATATGAAGAAATGGCTTGGAAGTTTTTACTGCCATTCTTTGTTGGAGGGGAAAACATATTAACTACTGAGAACGGGGGGGGGGGGCCTAAAAAAACCCAAAACCAAGACAAGTAGTTAATTTCAGCATAATGTCTTAAAGGAAAAAGTAAGGAAAGGGGAATCTGGGCTGCCAGGAGTATAATTTAACCTGAGACCCCAAATAGCTACATCCTTTTGAAAATCTACACAATTTACAATATTAATGATTCATTCACATCAATGTGCTAAATAGGGACACCCATATATCTTGCATACAGGTTTTCTTTCGCATGAAAGACCTGTGATAAGGGTAACAAAACAAGTCTTACCAAAACACATGGTGTTTACAGACCCCAGAAGGAGAAAAAGCAAAGATGTCATGTGAGGGGGATTTCCTAATTAATAAGCAAGGTGAATGAGAACCAGGCTTACCCTCAAACCACATCAGCAGGCTGTGCTGTTTGTTCCTCAGTGACTATTTTTCTTTAAGATGCTAATTGCACTGACAATAAAAAGGCAAGTGGTTTGAATCTACCAGCTGCCCCACAAAGGGAAATGGGCAATCTATGAAAACCACTAAAATTAAAGTGATAATAACAGAATATTATAAAATGCTATACTCTGAGGCAGCTCTGGTGGCCTAGTGACAAGAAGTTGTACTGCAATCCTAGAGGTACACAGTTCAAATCCACCAGATGCTCTGCTGGAGGAGAGGCAATCTCCTCCTGTACCAGTCAAATCTGATTCAACGGTACATACACACAAAATAATAAAATAAAATAGAAAAAAGCTATCCTCTGAAAAATTTGAAAATCGAGAGGAAGTGGACAAATCTTTGAAACTCACACCCTACACAAACTGGCACAGACAGAAGTAGAACATTAAACAGATCAACACCACAAAAACAGCAAATGAGCAGGTCATTAACAAACTCCCAACAAAAAAGGCCTCACTCAGATGACTTCACCAGTGAACTCTACCAAATATTTGGTGAAGGACTATCACCAATGCTACCTGAATTATTTAGAAATGTAGAAAAATGAAGGAAAGTGTAAAGTACAACAATTTAAAAACCCACTATGTACATAAACACAACTCAATATATAAGAGTAATTATATGCCTACCAATAAAAATCTACACAGGAGTTCTACAGGACACGTCACCTTCCCTTGGAGACAGCACAACTAAACTTAAGAGACACTGCTCAAAAGAAAAAAAAAAAAATGTCAGCCGTCAACGTGTTTGGAATCACAGAAGCCAAGAAAGCTTAAGATACAAGCTGTCAGATCATGGGTTGGACAATGGAAGATATTTTCTGAAGGGACTTGGCAGATGTGAAGGGTTATCCTGGTGGAGGGTGGAGCTGGGAAGTAAGTGGGTCAAGGCACTGGGCTAAGGGTGGGGTCAACACTGTAACTAATGCTTAAC